CCCATGTGTAAAACGGCCAGAAAAAATTCCCCCCGGCAACCCCCCCCCCCCCCCCCCCCAAGCGCCCGCCTGCTACCTAAACCGAGAGCGCGGCTGCTGGGGGCAGCCGCGCCGGGCGATTCGCGCCCGCGCTCCATCCACGCAAATGTTCGTTCGAAACGGCCCTGACCCCAGACCCAACGCCCCTCGCTCCCCCCACCGGACAATCTGGCGGGTCCACAAGATACACCGCTCCACCCCTCTTGCTGCGCACGTACGCAGTTCATCTGGGGCGCAGCTTTGCGAACCACGTACTGTAAAGTTACGCTGGACACCGCTTTCCGCGAGGCGCTGTGCAGCGCCAATCGCGCCCGTGCCACCCGCGGCCCTATATGTGAGAATTAAAATCTGGGGCCTGTACAACATAAAGAAGAAACTTGAGTCTCTCGGCTCGAAAGTGCCGCGGGCCCCATTGGCTCTCCATACTGCTGCTGATACTCAGATGGCGGCGCCCATCTGGGACGAGCCAGGTGACAGATCGCACGTTTCAGTACCTGTACCAGAATACTGTATATATATAATCGTAGGGTACGACGGCGACGGAGTAAAGAGTAACTGATTCATCGTTCGAACACCAAGCACGCTAACGGCGGCTTGTTGCTGCCCACTGCGGCGTGAGAAGACAGTTTTGTTCATACAATTCCTACTGTACTGCTGAGGGTGTGTCTTAACAGGCGCTTGTTTGCCCGTGTTTGCCCGTGTTTGCCCGTTTTTTGTTGAAGAAATTAAAAAAACATTTTGGACACGTGGGCAGCTGTACAAACTCCTTACACCTCCCTCTGCAGCTCTGACAATATTTTGTCAGCCATAAATCTAGGGCTATAGTATACACCGCGGCGTTACAAGGTCGTCTCGCTGATCCTCTACTCTCAAGCCTCACCCTACCGCCGCCGTCGTAATTATGCAGTCATTGTCCTGCGCAAGAAAAGTGCTTTCAATTGCAGTCATGTGCATACTGCACTCACTAACCTCCCCTCTCACGCTTCTCCGTACTGACTGTTTTGCTACAACACTTTCGCCACTCCATCACTCCCACATCATAATGCCACAACAACGGCACAATGATTTCTCTCACCGCCGCCGTCGCAGTCTTGCCCTTAAGGCAATGCTGGGGACATCAATTATTGTCTATTGTTTAGGTCTCCACTGCGCAATCTCAGAATTCCCGAGGCCCTGTTTATCGCTCAAACCAAAGGATGTGCGTCGTTTTTGGAAATTTTCGAAGGCAAATCGCATGTTTAGCGATAATGAGTTCGCCCTAGCCTATCGGATGCAGAGGGAAACATTTGAGAAGCTCTTACAAGCATTTTATCATCGTCTAACGAAGAACGAGGAGATGGCGAAGCGCGCTGGACGCGAGCTTGTGTCACCTGAGGCTCGCCTAGTAATTTTACTTCACTTTATGGGCGGTGAGTCCGTACACGGGTGCATGGTACATTTTGAAGTAGAGAGGAGTACAGTATATCAAGTGTTTAAAGAGACACGCGATGTACTGAATAGTGCTCTAAGTTTACCCGGGCTGCCGGAAGATTTTGAGGGTTTGAAGAAGTCTTCAGACGAGTTCCAAACTTCTCGGACCCCACCAAACCCTTTACCTGGGTGTGTGGGTGCCTTAGACGAAATTGCAATCAAAACCAAGAAGCCAGCGGCGCATGAGCACCCCGCCACTTACTATTGCAGAAAGAGATTCTAGGCGCTCCCAGTCCAAGCCGTTGTGGACTCGAACTATCGCTTTTTAGATTGCTCAGCTATATGCAGGGGTTCTACGCATGACTCTCTTGCTCACGCCGTGTCCGCTTTGGGGAGATATTTGGACGAGGGGAATCTGATAGTGCCATTTTGGATCGCGGGCGACGAAGCGTATGTTTGTTCTAACTATGTAATTGTCCCGATTCCTGGCTCGCGTGCTACAGATGTCGAGGATGCGTTCAATTTTTATCATTCTTCACTACGCATGCACGTTGAGCAGGCGTTCGGCGTTTTAGTGAAGAAATTCAAGATTTTGAAGATGCATGAATTCTCTGTTTCAGATTCCGCGAAGGTGACTATTTTGGCGATGAAACTGCACAATTTTTGCGTAGATCATGGGCAAAAGATCACCAGTAGGGCATCTATCAATACAGAAAGGGTTCTTGAAGAGCGCAGCATGATGACTGAAACAAGGAAATGGTACAGCGAGGGGAAGCATGCATATGTCGATCTGGCTGGGCGAGTCGAGGCTAGCAATAATATGGATGCTATGTAGAAAAAGAATCTTTTGGTTTCCATCATTCGCGATGGGCGATTCGTCAGACCTGCGGCGGGGGGGCTTCGAGTTCCAGAATTTTTTATGCAATTCGTCTAGCTAACATCTACTTTTGTTTGTGTTTTCTTTTTTTCAGTTGCCTCACTTCTTGGTTGGAAGTGAGGGGTGGTGGTGGGACTTTTTGTGCGAAGAGCTTTCAATTCTGATGCGGTTTTGTTTGCGGCTGGGTCTGGGCCTGGGCCTGGAATCAGCAAGGAAGTCACGACTAAGTTTAGGAGATAGTTGCGAACTATTTTCAATCCGGAAGGCAGGTCTCGATCGCCTGAAAATGAGAGAGAAATAGTCAAGAGCCCTCATATTGCACGCAGTCAAAATGCTCCAACTACCGCAACAAATGACACGGCTTCTCTCCATGGGGGAAGGAAAGCAGCTTTGATTCCACGTCAGGAAGCAGGTCCGGCAGTGTCTCCGACAAAGGTGGCGGAGAAGTCTGGATATTCTCGTTCTTCATCTTGCATACTTGCTAGCAACACAACTGCTGGGACTGTGTATCCTCGAAGCTCTGAGCATGGACCTCGACGACGACGCGGCGGAGGGCGACCCGTCCTCCATGCTCTTTCACGGCATCGGCCCGAGCGTGTCCGTACCCAACGGCATCCATCACCTCCCTGCCGCCGCAGCCCACCTCCCTCCCCGCGCGAACGGCCTTCTAGCCGCCCCGCCGCGTGAGTTTGCCGTGCTCGCGTCCGCCCCAGCCCCGCCGCCGCCTTCATACTCCCCGCACGAGCCGTCGCTGGACGGACCCGTGCCGCCGCCGCCCACTACCCCGTCGCCGGACGCGGAACACGCAGACTCGGACGAGGACTACCCCGCCAGCCTCGAGGGCGCCCGTCTGGACGACGAGGATCCGCTCGTCCCAGGCGACGTGCACAGCCCGTACGAGAGCGTCGCGCGCGCCGCAGAGGCCGCGCTGCTCCGCCGCACGGACAGGGATGACCTGCAAGGGCGCGGCCCGGCGTCGTTCGCGTCTGGCCGCTCGCGACGCGCAGCATCCAGCCTGTCGGCGAGCGACTTTCTCAGCAGGAGCGAGTACACCGCCTACTCCGAGGACGTCGCCAGCGTTGCCAGCTTCGCGCGCAGCGTCGAGGACGACATGTTCGAGGAGGACGACAGCTTTGGAGGAAGGATGCACGGCGTCGATGTCATGCCGGAGATGGGCGGCATGGTGTACTCCAACTCAGCGGCCGCCGTGCCTAATTTGACGTAGCGGGTGGGAAAGGCGGGTGGGCGGGATCGGCGGGATCGTGGTGGTGGCTTATTTTTGTTATAGAGGGAGGGGGTGGCGGTGCGTGAGAGGGCTCTCTTTCGCGTTGGTTGTACATTTTTGCGGGGGGAGGGCGTCGTCGACGGCAAAGTAAAGAGGGGAGACGAATCGTCAGCTATGATGGAAAGGCGGTTCGTATTAAATTCTCGACTACTCTCGAGCCACCGAAGTGCACAATTCACCGTCCCAAACATCACATGTCAGCTTTCCACACCATCTGCGTCATCACGGCCGTACCTCCCCCCCTCCCCCCCATCTCTTCCACACCAATG